TGTTGCCAATAGCGCATTGAGACCAATGTATGTATTTTTATTTGGTAGCGTTAGGCTGTTTATGGACTCATTATTTTGACTCAAAGTTTTAGTAACTACATGATGTTCATGTATTGTCAAAGTCAGTGGCGGTCCGTGCATTTCAGATCTGCGCCTGCATTGATGTCCTAAGCCAGCGATCTCCAACTTTTTTAGTCCCACAGACAACACACACACGCGCACGTGCCTCCTGTGTTAACCCTCTATGCACATGGGTCATTTTGGGGAACTTTCCTCGCCTGGTTTTCTTTGTGTATAATTGTTCATAAAACAGTCATCTTTTGATGCAGAGTCAAGCAGTATACTTTGTTTTTTTCAGTACAACCTGGGGTTTTAGAATATTCATATTGTAAAGCTGTCATATGAATTATATAAAAATGATGGAATCATAAAGACAAAGAAAAAAATCAAACGGAAAATAAATTTAACAAAAATGTATTGAAAAAACACAGTGAAATGCTATAAACAACTTTTTACACTGCATAGAAATGTTATTTATGGTCTTGGGGATAATGGGGAAAAAAATTTAATCTCTAACTATTATACTTTTTACAAAATTCCACTATAAAAGCAAAAAACTCTGTACTCCTGATGCCCTTCCTGAAGCAGTTTGTCTATAAGGCTGGGGTTGCTTCTGTAGTACAGCTGTAAAAAACGTAAAACATAAAAAACTGAGCAAAAAAAAATAAATAAACATCAATTATTTTTATAATACATATATTTATATACATCATATACACATAATGTCATTTTACTGTATTTATTATCGTCTTCATCAATAATGCGCACTCTTCAGCCGGTTATTGCAATCGCAGCTGTAGTTTCAACTGTGGGAGAACAAGTAAACGCAGAGGAGTGAGAGATCTCAAGCCTAGTGTATACTTGCGCGGCGTGGCTTACGTTAGCGGTTGCGGTGGACCTACGTAAGCACAATTGATGTTATACTGGCGCGTTCCCCTTACGGAGTTTTGAGGAGAATGTTGTAATCCCACAACAAACCACATGAGGGCGATCACACAGGAGCGGTCCCATTTACGCTGCTACTTTGTCCTCTTCAGAACAACAATAGCAAACAAAGCTGTTTGAGTTCATTACATGTGTTTCTACTGCAGGTTTATGTGATAGTTTTATGGATTCATTATTTTATAAGTCATTTCAACTGTGATGCTGTGAATAAATCAATCAATCAACGTTTATTTATAGAGCGCCTTTCCTACACAAGGCAACGCAAAGCGCCTCACAACCCATATAACATCATGCATAAATCATCAAACATTAGAATTTAAGTAAACATAAAAAGACAGATTAAGAGCACAAGATATATAAAATGTTATTATTAAATAGTTTTCAGCACAAACAGCAAAACAATAATAGTGGTAAATATCTGAGACAAACATGAACAATTTACGAGTGCAGGAGGAAAGCAACAAAAACTCAGCTACGATTCAAACAAAGACAGGAACAGTGCAAAACAAACGACTGCACAGTTTATAAGTTATATATATGTTAGATAGTCCACAGTCTCCTGTATATCAGGCTCTGAGCCCAAACTGCTTTTCCTTCGAAGCACAAAGCTCTCTGCTCCATAGAGCCTCCTCCACGTCCCTGCTGCAGCCGCTCCTTCCAATACACACACACGGACCAATCACAGCGGAGATTCCTTGCGGCAACCCTTAAGTAGTTAGAAAATTTTGATGCTGCAGGGCAGGCAACGTAAGGGCCTTGCCGTGACCAACGCGTTGCAAAAGTGACGTCACGTCACCTCCGTAAGCTCCGCGCCGCGCGAGTATAAACTAGGCTTTACTCTCTGACGATCTTTGGCAGTCCCCGTGTGTTTGTATCTCACAGCTGTTTGTACCTCACGGGTCACGCTTTGGACACGGACTTTCAGACAAACTTAGTTTATCCTCCGTGCATCGCACAGACAAATCAAAACTAGTTTCGGAAAGCCCTGAATACGTACTTCACAGAGGGAAAAAAAGTAAGTTGCTACATTTTACCGTTCGCGAGTAAATTGATCATTTGTAAAACATGTGCGTGTGCATCGGCGCCGATGCACGTGGACATATAGGGTTAAAATGACAGGAGGCACATCGCTGTAGTTTGCACACACGCCTGACGCACTCGTGCACAATGCGTAACTTTCTCTCTCTCTGACAGTATCTGAGAACACGACCGAGTGCAACACGAGCATTCAGGACCCAGTTTTGAGCATTAATGTGGGAAAGTCCGACTACAATACAAGTATTGCGTATGAGTTTTTATGTTCTAGTTTCTTACCGGTGGTGAGGCAGGACCGTTAGTATAATAGATTCATGGGCAGGACGCGGCTCCGTGTCTTCTGCATTAGCCTAGCTCCGCAGGTTGGCTTATTCACAAACTGTTCCATCGGCTTTTAGCCTCAGCTCTGCCGCAGCCGTGTTTGCTCTGGTCGGGGATCCTGGCTCTTCTGGTCCTGGCTCTCCTGGTCCCTCTGTCTCTGTTTTTCTTGAGAAAGGCGTTCTATCTACCAGAACGATATATTCACCTCCTTCGGCCGTAGAGGGTTGACAAAACTAAAACTCGTGCTATTAGCATTTGTGTTTGTTTCTGTTTATCACATGAACGTACATCCATGCGGTCTGCATTGTCACGTCTCTTTACCGTGTATCCAATCAAAAGAAGTGCATGCTCTGACGCCGCACAGGGCCTTCGAGCTGGCCCTCAGGAAACAGACTTGACACTGATTGGTCAATGTCACAGGTTAGTTTTCATCGACTAAGGGTGTATTCAGACCTGAAAAGTCCTTTGCTCCGCTTGCTTGATCCAAATCAAAAGCGGACCAAACTTTTTTCTTTTGCTCCGGTTCGTATTCAGACTGTCCTTTTTGCAAGTGAACTTTTTTATATAAACATATTGACACGTGTGACGATCGGCGCTCCTATTGGACAGCAAGAGCTCACGGAGGATAGACACGGAACCGGCGGAAAACATTGAGGGCTCGTATGTGCAGCATGTCTGCTCTGCCTCTGTTTGCTCTTTTTAGAGCAAAACCACCTTCACCATCAACAGCAGCAGCTCATATGACACAGGCGAAACACGTTGTTTTAAATATTGGAACAGCGTCGGAGAATGCATGAGGAGAAAGCCGAAGGAGACTGTCTGTGCGCTCCGTGCCCTGTCCCACACATGGATCTATTATAATAACCCTGTTCCACAACTTACTGACAGCAGCATGTGGATAAACCATGGATCTATAATAACCACGGGACAAACAGACGCTGAGGATCAGGTATGAACCAAAGAACACAATTCACTACATGATGCAGAATATTGCTCTTTGAGACGTGAGTCAAACAGTGTCAGACTTTTAATAATGCAACTGGTTTGAAGATGCTGCCATTAACATCACTGTATACTGTGAACAGTTGTAACTCCATGAGCCTGTTGCACAGCGTCTCCTCACTGCTCCAGGTCTGCCCATGGCTCATTGTTGTTGTGTAGCGTTAGCAGCATAGTTAGCAGCATAGTTAGCCGCTGCGTGGCTAATTCCTCAGTTTCTGTCTGCGGCTTGTTAAGCCCAAAAAATTTGCACGTATCTTGGAGTTGTGTCGGATCGACACCGGATATATTCAGACCTGAATTCGACTTGGACCAGAATTTGTTTGGAAGCGGACCGAGACCACCTAAAAAAGTGGGTCTCGGTTCGGTTCTTTGGTCCGGACCAGGATTCGTTTGTGTGTATTCAGACCTGCATAGAAGCTTCGGATCAGAGTTCCAAACGAATCCTGGTCCGTTTAAAGTGGAGCAAATGTGCAGGTCTGAATACACCCTAAAAGCTACCGGGGGCCAGCATTGCAGAGTCTGAAGGCCCAGAGGCAGATTCTGGGCCATAGCAACACATGACGCTGCATGAGCAATGATTGGTTAAAAACTCTGTTAGACGCCAAACCTCCCAAATGCCGACCTGAAGCTGGAAGCTGCGCAACCCACGAAGTTTGTGAAAAGATAAACATTAAAAACAAATAATAATATTAAGAAAATATATATTATATATATTATAAAAATACATATGTATGTAATCACGTTGAGACCAGCAGAGAAGGCCTTGCTAGCCTTGAGGGTCCGCCACTGGGCAAAGTACATTGGTAAATCAGTTAAAAGTTTAGGTAAGCATGCTAACATGGGTAGTTGTTTGTATCCTCAGATATTATTGTTTTACTGAGCTTCGTCCATCACAAGTCAACAGTGTGTTACAATACCTCATGATGAAATTACATCAAGATTGATCAGTTATAACATCATATCAGCTTTGTTTTACTGTTGTTTTGAACCTGTTGGTTTGTCTTACATTACAACATGAAAATCTTTGGCTTATAGTCAAGTGTGGTCTTCATATCATATTGCTGTGTTTTTTTCCTGTCTCAAACGAATTGCCCCTGGTGCGATAAATAAGGTAGTCTGAATCTGAATATGTAGAGTCCAGCGAACATGGAGCATTTGAGACGGAATCTCACAATGGATCTCAGGACACCAATTTTGTGACACAAAAGCAAAACATAAGACACAAATGAAAAGAAAACTTTCAATTTTCACCAGTGGGGTACATTTGCTAAAGATGCTTGGGGGGTTAGTAGTGCACACAGTAGTGGTTTTGCTTTATGTTTATCATTCTTTTTCTCCGCAGAGAGGAAAGCAGATCACCCAGGCCTGGTGTGTTCCGCAAAGATGAAAGCAGATCACCCAGGCCTGGTACGGTCCACAAAGAGGAAAGCAGATCACCCAGGCCTGGTACGGTCCACAAAAAGGAAAGCAGATCACCCAGGGCTGCTGTGGTTGAGAAGATTCAACTCAATCATTCCATTACCGAGTTCCTCAAGTTCTATGAAACAAATATAAACCAACTCATGGATCTTGCTAAAAAACTGGAGAAATGTCAAGCTGAAAGACGTCGATTTGCAGGAAAAGCAAAGAAAGGGGATATGGCGCTCTCTGTGTTTGGTGGGGCTGGGGTGGTTTTAGACGGACTTGCGGGTGGACTCCCTCTGGCCGCAGGACTGGCCTATGTCGCTGGAGTTGGAGTTAAAGCCATCGGAAAAATAACCACAAGTAAAAGCTTGAAGAAGTTGAAGTCTTTGTTGGAGGCGTACAGAGGAATCATCAAAACGCTGAAACTGAAAATGCTTGACGTGGTTCGAGAAATGGATACACACAAACCAAATGTTCAAGACACAGTTTTGTCTGAGGCGCTTAAACTGAGAGCCAAAGTTACAGACGCAATCTCGACTCTGAACGAGTGTCAGCGTGACGAGTCTGAAAACTACAAAATGGTCAGGGAATATCGAGACCAAGTCGAGCTATTAAAACCTACAATGGAGCGGTTCAGGTAAAACAGCAACACTCAGTTGTTTGTCAGTTACAAGATTATTCCTCATTACTTCATACATAGGAAAATAAAAAAAAAATGTCACAACACCTGCTTCTTCTGATAGATACAGTTTTGCTATGATTTTAGTGCCTAAAAACCTGATTTCTGACAGTAAAAAGACTGTCCTCTGCAATGACCTGTGACGTGTATATCACTGAAATCGTATTTTGTTTCTAATGTAAATGTATTGTTTTTGTCAGCCAAAATTTAACCATCAAAGTAATGGAAATATGGCATTTTAAACACAGAAAATACCTTCATAATGTAAATAAAATGTAACTTAACAACAGTAACAACTTCTATAGTTTCTGTGCCCGGACAGCAATTACCGGTATAAGCCAATAGGTCTTTCAATGTATTTGAACCCTGTGGCTATAGCCATTTGACTGCTGCATGTATATAAATCTATTGTGGTAGAGTTGGGCTGTTCATGTATTGTCAGAATACATTAGTTAATATGTTTATCATTCTCTTCTCCACAGAGAGCAAAGCAGATCACCCAGGCCTGGACATGCTGTGAAGAATCAACTCAATAATTCCATTTCAGAGTTCCTCAGTTTCTATGAACAAAATATTAAACAACTCATGGATCTTGCTGAACAACTGGAGACCTTTCAAGCTGAGGCAAAGAAAAGAGAAATAGCGATTGCTATGATGAAAGGGACCGGAATTGCTTTAAGCGTTCTTGCGGATGTAGTCCCAGGACTGGGCGTTGTCGCGAGAGTTGGAATTAATACCATTGAAAAAGTAAACACAAATAAAAGCTTAAAGAAGTTGAAGTCTTTGTGGGAGGGGTACAGAGCAATCACAAATACGCTGAAAGTGAAAATGCTCGACGTGGTTCGAGGAATCGAAACAGACACAGACAAACGTGATGCTCCAGACGCAGATTTGATGAAGTTGCTGGATCTGAAGTCCAAAATGTTCTACGCAATTATTGCTCTGAGCGAGTGTCACCAAGACGACGAGTCTGAGAACTGCAAAATGGTCAGAAAATATCGTGGCAAAGTTGAGCTATTCAAACCTAAATTAATTGGAACAGCTAAAATAAAACTGCAGCATTCAGTTGTTTCAACCGTACAAGATTTTTCCTCATAATTTCATTCATAGATGAAAAGAATAAATGAATGAATAGAAATGCAGAAAAGTAAAAAAAGATATACTGTATGCACTGATCTTGGATTGATTATAATCGGACAAATATGATGCACTTTTAATATTTCCACTGGACTTAAACAGGCCCATGAGTACTGTTGTTGTTGCATCATCTCTTAGAAACTGAAAAAAAAGACATCACAGATCTAGTAACGGTAATAATTATCTTCTGGGGTAGATCACTTCCAAACTACAGAACTATGTAGTTTCTTGTTTACATGCATGTATTTGTAGGCCTCTGTCACATATATCACATAGACCTATTTCTAGGACAGAACATTGAAAAAGCTCTCAGCCCAAATCATCAAATGGTGACTTGCAGGGCTCTTTCTTTCAAGTTTGCAAAATATAACCTGTTTTTAAATAAAACTCTAAAAATACACTGTGTTGTGGTCATATTTGTTCACAATATTTTACTTTTAATATACTGTAGTCATTTGGACTAACAGCCTCCTGTGAAATAAAAAAGTTAGGGACCTCAGCTTTAAAACAATGAATCCGTTGATGTGTTTGTAATACAATGCTGGACTCAGACAGAGGCAAAAAAAAAAAAACTGTCAATTTCATAACATTAGATAGCAGCTGATTTCATACTGTAGCCTCATTACGTCTAGGCTACTTATTTTTATAACCGTTTAATCAATTTAAATTTATGGGAGACTATAAGACAAGGAACCATGAAAAGTACCTAACTTCTAACTGTGTACAGTCCATGAAACTAGTTTGTTATTTTCAAGACAACTTGCGGGTGGACTCCCTCTGGCCTCAGGACTGGCCTATGTAGCTGGAGTTGGAGTTAAAGCCAATAGAGAAAAAATCACTAGTAACAGCTTGAAGAAGTTGAAGTCTTTGTGGGAGCTTTACAGAGGAATCATCAAAACGCTGAAACTGAAAATGCAGGACGTGGTTTGAGGAATCGATAAACACGAAGACAAACGTAATGTTCAAGACACAGATTTGTTTGAGATGCTTAAACTGAGAGCCAGAGTTACAAGATGCTCCAACAATATCAAGACCAAGTCGAGCTATTCAAACCTACGATGGAGCGTTTCAGGTAAAACGGCAGAATTCAGTTGTTTGTCAGTTACAAGATTATTCCTCATAACTTCATTCATATGAAAATACTAACAAATTGTCATAACACCTGCTTCTTCAGATAGATACAGTTTTGCTGTTATTTTATTGTCTTAAACCCTGATTTCTGACAGTGAAAAGACTGTCCTCTGCAATGACCTGTGACGTATATCACTGAAATTGTATTTTGTTTCCAATGTAAATGTGTTGTTTTTGTCAGCCAAAATAGAACCATCAAAGTAATGGAAATATGGCATTTTAAACACAGAAAATACCTTCATAATGTAAAATAAAATGTAACTTAACAACAGTAACAACTTCTATAGTTTCTGTGCCCGGACAGCAATTACCGGTATAAGCCAATAGGTCTTTCAATGTATTTGAACCCTGTGGCTATAGCCATTTGACTGCTGCATGTATATAAATCTATTGTGGTAGAGTTGGGCTGTTCATGTATTGTCAGAATACATTAGTTAATATGTTTATCATTCTCTTCTCCACAGAGAGCAAAGCAGATCACCCAGGCCTGGACATGCTGTGAAGAATCAACTCAATAATTCCATTTCAGAGTTCCTCAGTTTCTATGAACAAAATATTAAACAACTCATAGATCTTGCTGAACAACTGGTGACATTTCAAGCTGAAAGACAACGATTAGCAAATAAGGCAAAAAAAAGAAATGGCGGTTGCTGTAATGAAAGGGGCCGGATTTGCTTTGAGCGTTCTTGCAGATGGAATCCCAGGACTGGGCTTTGTCGCGAGAGTTGGATTTAATGCCATTAGAAAAGTAAACACAAATGAAAGCTTAAAAAAGTTGAAGTCTTTGTGGGAGGGGTACAGAGCAATCACAAATACGCTGAAAAAGAAAATGCTCGACGTGGTTCGAGAAATCGAAACAGACACAGACAAACGTGATGCTCCAGACACAGATTTGTTTAAGTTGCTGGATCTGAAGTCCAAAATGCTCTACGCAATTATTGCTCTGAGCGAGTGTCACCAAGACGACGAATCTGAGAACTACAAAATGGTCATAGAATATTGTGACAAAGTCGAGCTATTCAAACTTAAATCGGAACAGCTAAAATAAAACAGCAGAATTCAGTGGTTTCGACCGTACAAGATTTTTCCTCATATAATTTCATGCATAAAAAAATACTAACAAATTGTCACAACACCTGCTTCTTCAGAGCGATACAGCTTTGCTATGATTTTAGTGCCTAAAAACCTGATTTCTGACAGTGAGAAAAATGTCCTCTGCAATGACCTGTGACGTAGATGACTGAAATTGTATATTGTTTCTAATGTAAAAAGGATTATTAAAGGTATTGTTTTTCTCAGCCAATGTGTACTAATTTTTGAGAGTCAAATCAAACATTCTGGATGAATCAGAACCAACTCCAAACTGAGTCCAAACATGTTTATGGGGATTTGACATGAGTTCCACCAGGAGCTTTCTTTCTTTTTTACAAGTCCCTTTCTGTATCTTTCTACTGTCAAATAAAACCAATCCCAGATGCCAGCTGTACCTTCCTTTATAATTTCCCATGGAACATTGAGGCAGGATTTTGAGTTTTATCTTTCTCTGTACAGAGATTGTACCCACTTATAATTCGAGTAAAGGAGTCACAAATGGCCAAACAGACAGGGCCTCAGCTTCAGATTCGTTTAAGAGGAAAAAAAAGTCCGTATATCGACAATATAGTAAACAATCCAACTATTTTTGCTCAAATGCATGGATGAAAAGAATAAATGAATGAATAGGAATGCAGAAAAGTAACAAAGATATTCAATGACTTATATTGTACTGATCTTGGATTGATTATAATCGGACAAATATGATGCACTTTTTTCTACTACTTCAGCTGAACTTAAACAGGCCCATGAGTACTGTTGTTGTTGCATCATGTCTTAGAAACTGAAAAAATACATCACAGATCTATAACGGTAATAATTATCTTCCCGTACAAAGAAAAAACAATGGGATACATCACTTCCAAACTACAGAACTATGTTGTCCCTTGCTTTCAAAATTGTTTCATATTTTGAGTTTAGACTTTTTTCTCAGACAGAACATTGAAAAAGAGAGGACCACCCTCTCTCAGCCAATCAGCTCTCAGCCCAAATCATCAAATAGTGACTTGCAGGGCTCTTTCTTTCAAGAATGCAAAATATAACCTGTTTTCAAATAAAACTCTAAAAAGACACTGTGTTGTGGTCATATTTGTTCACAATATTTTACTTTTAATATAGTCATTTGGACTAAACATGCATTTAATATGAAACAAAAAAGTTAGGGACCTCAGCTTTAAAACAATGAATCTGTTGATGTGTTTGTAATACAATGCTGGACTCAGACAGGGACAAAAAATATCTATTTCATAACATTAGATAGCAGCTGATTTCATACTGTGTAGCCTCATTACATCTTGGCTACTTATTTTTATAACCTTTTAATACATTTACATTTATGGGAGGCTATAAGACAAGGAACCATAAAAAGTACCTAACTTCTAACTGTGTACAGTCCATATAACTAGTTTGTTATTTTCAAAAAAATATGAAACACAACGGACAATTGGTCACATCTTTAGATTTAGATTCTGTTTATTTTCTATTTGCTAAATATTCCTCTTCCTCCGGCTCCAATTTCTTGATATTTGGAGTCGAACCAGAACAGATTGAAGAGCTTCCTTTACTATCGCATTTGCCGCGATTACCAAACTACAATTGGGGGCAAACTCTTGATGTCACCAACACCTGATCGGACGGATGGGATAAAAACGAGGTAACCACGGACACTTGGATCAGACCCAGACATACATGTAGGGAAATGATAACTGAGTTTACAGATAGACTAGCACTAGCTAGACTAAACTACAAGAGAAAACATTATACTAGAAGAGAACAGTCTAGAATAGAATAGACTGGGCTAAATGAGACTAGAATGGACGCTAATGTGTCATTGACAGCACCAAACAAGAGCAAAACAATCAACAGAATGATGTTTGTGAATCATCAAGCCGCTGACATTTCCTCACTGTGGGATGAACAAATGCTATCTCCATTTTAACATTACTAAGATACAATATACACCACTATCTCAGGGGAAGTTTGTCCATACAACCTTTTCAGTGAAGAATCAGGTGAGCACATACAGTATCCCGTTGTCATTTACACAAAGGGTTACTTTACGAGAATCCCGTAAAGGCAATGACTTTGATAAGACAGAAATGCAGAAGTGATAAAGCTGATATCTAGATCCTATCAAAGCGCAGTGACCTTTAACCACTGTATGTGTCTGAATCCATTCAGTCCAGACACACTCTCGACTCGGACTCTGAGCTGAAACTACAGGTAAACTTAAACTGATCAGCGTTCTTTACTTAATTCACTTGATTCTAGTGAAATCTGTGTTTTTATGCGTCCTACAGGTGGTGCTGTGACAGACATGGGTAAACAGAATAGTAAAAGCAGCAGCAATGAAAGGATCAGGTTTGTCATTATTTAATCTCATTATCTTACGTCCTCTATACTCTGAGAGCTAAGCAAGCCTTGTCGTGGCAGAGACAGACCGTACAGGCCAGAAAACTGCGATAGAAAATCAGGTAATTGTGAATATGTGTGTGTGAATCACTGTGAAACCTGTCAGTCCTCCTAATGTTGAATACTCTGATGATAATCTGGGCGTATGGAGCTGATCTAGTGTCAAAGACCGTTAGCACAAGCATGGGATCCCGAGAAATTCTATCAACATGTCTCTTTCAGAACATGTATAACACAAATCCAACAAACACATTAAAATACATACTGTAGCTAAAAAATACATGTTTTGAAATGTGTCCACAGTTGGGTCGATAATGCTTCCAGTGCCTTTAGCTGAACCCAACATGTAATTAAATATAGGTAAATAAATAAACTAAATCATTGGCATATCATATATTATATATAATATCTAATTTGGTTGAACAGTACTATTGCAGGTATTGTGAAACCTGAACTTTACTTTCATAATTCTTATTTTGAGAACAGGCCTTTGAACACTATTGCCTATATAGCAGACCAATGTACTGTATGTATTTCTATTTGGTAGCGTTAAGGCTTTCATCAGAGCATCTGGACTTATTTTTTACTCCAAGTTTTAGTAACTAAATGATGTTCATGCATTGTCAAAATACATTGGTAAATGAGTTAAAATTTTAGGTAAGCATGCTAACATGAGTGATTGTTTGTATCCTCAGATAGTATTGTTTTTTTTACTGAGCTTCGTCCATCACAAGTCAACAGTTAAAACCTCATCATTAAATTAAATAAAGATTGATCAGTTATAACATCATATCAGCTTTGTTTCACTGTTGTTTTGCACCTGTTGGTTTGTCTTACATTAGAACATGAAAATCTGTGGCTTATAGTCAAGTGTGGTCTTCATATCACTTATGTTACTGTGTTTTTATGTTTTTATGCCTTGTGCTGCTCAAATTGTCTGAATCTGAATATGTAGAGTCTAGTAGTCTAGTATAGTCGAGTATACTATGCTTTTTAAAATGAGTTTGAGACTTCTGGCTGAGAGAGAACATGGAGCATTTGAGCCGGGATCTCACACTGGATCTCAGGACACCAATGTATACCAAGTGACACGTGTAGCAAAACGTTAGTGCAATATACGATATAAATGAATAGAAAACGTTCACCAGAGGGGTACATTTGCTAAAAGATTCTTGGTGTAAATCAGGGGTTAGTCCCACAGTACTGGGTTCATTTATTTTGCTATATGTTTATCATTCTTTTTCTCTGCAGAGAGGAAAGCAGATCACCCAGGGCTGCTGTGGTTGTGAAGATTCAACTCAATCATTCAATTTCCGAGTTTCTCCATTTCTATGAAACAAATATAAACCAACTCGTGGATCTTGCTGAAAAACTGGAGAAATGTCAAGCTGAAAGACGAAGATTTTCAGGAAAGGCAAAGAAAGGAGATATGGCGCTCTCTGTGTTTGCTGGAGCTGGAGTGGTTTTAGACGGACTTGCGGGTGGACTCCCTCTGGCCTCAGGACTGACCTCTGTCGTTGGAGTTGGAGTTAAAGCTTTTCAAAAAATGAACACAAGTAAAAGCTTGAAGAAGTTGAAGTCTTTGTATGAGGCGTACAAAGGAATCATCAAAGTTCTGGAACTGAAAATGGAGGACGTGGTTCGAGGAATAGATACACACACAGACAAAAGGAATGTTCAAGACACAGATTTATTTGAGATGCTTAAACTGAGAGCCAGAGTTACAGACGCAATCTCGACTCTGAACGAGTGTCAGCGTGACAGCGAGTCTGAGAATTACAAGATGGTCAGGGAATATCGAAACCAAGTCGAGCTATTCAAATCTACGATGGAGCAGTTCAGGTAAAACAGCAGAATTCGGTTGTTTCGACCGTACACCATTATTCCTGAAAACTTCATACATGGGAAAATAATAACAAATTGTCACAACACCTGCTTCCTCAGATAAATACAGTTTTGCTGTTATCTTATTGCCTAAAACCCTGATTTCTGACAGCGAGAAGACTGTCTGCTGCAATGACCCGTAACGTAAATCACTTAATTCTTATTTTGTTTCTAATGTAAATATATTGTTTTTGTCAGCCAAAATCGAACCATCAAAGTGCTGGAAATATGGTCTTTTAAATTTGTGTCCCTCTTATTGAGAGTAAAATCAGACATTCTGGGATGAATCAAGGACCAGTATGAACTCCAAACTCACAACTACAGTCCAAAAAATTTAGTTGTCAGGTGAAGAAGCTATTTGTTTTCTTTCAATCAATCAATCAATCCTTTATTATCTGAACAGACATATAGAACCAATCTCAGACACCAGCTGTGCGCTTCTTTATATTTAGTACATGGAGCATTAAGGCGGACTTTAGAGTCCTTAGAGGCATACTGTACATGACAGAGCTTTGGCTTCACAAAGAGTCCAGTGATTTGTTTGTGATCCAAAAGGGTTCTTAGATAGATTTGGTTTGAATTTATACAGATTTTGGAGCCGTTCAAGAAAGGAAAAAAGTCAGTATAGTAAAGGGTAAATAACAATTGTATAAACATTCAGGAAAACAATGATATTTAGATGAACCAAAGCAAAAAAAACGAGCCGGCGAATACAAGAACACACATTTAATGCATCGACTTGTCATTGGAACACCAGTCCAGTGCAGTATTGTGAATGTGTGAATGCGCACACACAAACATGGCAGCACTCTGAGCACTTACCTTGACGTAGGCCACGATTTTGAGCGAGATGGTTGCCAGATACAGCGAGTTCATGGCAAAGTCCATCAGGTTCCACCAGTCGTGAATGTATTCCGTGAAGCCTCCGTCCCACATCTCCTTAATCTCCGCCCAAATGAAGCCTGTGAGAACAAAAACACAATTATTCAAGCTATATGTCAATGCTACAGCGTGTTCACAAGGTAATAGACCAGGAAAAATGGTGTCCAGAGATTCAATGGTGTTTTGTTCAGCATGATGTATTTCTATGACGTGTCCAGAACAGCAAACTAAAACTCCAGAGAAATCCTGGTCGGGGGAAATAAGTTATTCTGTTTTTTTGTGCTGCGTTGTAACATTTTGTTGTACAGGTTTTCAAATAGACACTTATTGATTCAAGATGTTTGTCAATACTGCCAGATACTACTCCAATCATAATGAAACTATATACACAATATCTAAATACATTTCTTTTGTATTTCATTGAAAATACATTGGAATATGCAAATTTGCTGAACACTATTCAAATAATTAAAAAAGGTGTTGCGCATAGTTTTAGTAAAATTAATAATTGTTATCTATCATGTCTACTTTCAACTTAAGTTTCTTTGTGATTGGGGGTAAAGCCTAGTGTATACTTGCGCGGCGTGGCTTACGTTAGCAGTTGCGGTGGACCTACGTAAGCACAATTGATGTTATACTGGCGCGTTCCCCTTACGGAGTTTTGAGGAGAATGTTGTAATCCCACAACACACCACATGAGGGCGATCACACAGGAGCGGTCCCATTTACGCTGCTACTTTGTCCTCTTCAGAACAACAATAGCAAACAAAGCTGTTTGAGCTCATTACACGTGTTTCTACTGTAGGTTTATGTGATAGTTTTATGGATTCATTATTTTATAAGTCATTTCAACTGTGATGCTGTGAATAAAGACACAGTTCTTGTTGGAAACATAGTTATTATTAAATAGTTTTCAGCACAAACAGCAAAACAATAATAGTGGTAAATATCTGAGACAAACATGAACGATTTACGAGTGCAGGAGGAAAGCAACAAACGCAGCTACGACTCAAACAAAGACAGGAACAGTGCAAAACAAACGACTGCACAGTTTATAAGTTATATATATATGTTAGATATAAGTTATATATATGTTAGATAGTCCACAGTCTCCTGTATATCAGGCTCTGAGCCCAAACTGCTTTTCCTTCGAAGCGTGAAGCAGTCTGCTCCATAGAGCCTCCTCCATGCTCCTGCTGCAGCCGCTTCATGCTTCCTTCCAATACACACACACGGACCAATCACAGCGGAGATTCCTTGCGGCGACCCTTACGTAGTTAGAAAATTTCGATGCTGCAAGGGCCTTGCGGTGACCAACGCGTTGCGCAAGTGACGTCACGTCACCTCCGTAAGCTCCGCGCCGCGCGAGTATAAACTAGGCTTAAGTAATCAAGCCAGTAAGCATTATAATCTTGTTGATGGTGCAGGGGTTAGTTGAAATGTCTATATATGTTTGCTTCATCCAACCCCGTTTCAAAATATATATGTCATATTTGTCATCCTGTGAAAAAAACTTCTTGTATAGGTTTTTAAATAAACATCTTGGTTGATTGTTTGATGCTTCCAGTGTGCCTATCCATGTCATGGTTTGGGTTTTGTTATGGCAAAATTCATATTTGAATATCATTGCACCAAATCCACTGGAACAAAGGCCTCCTGTGCTGAGGTCTCTTTCACATGACCTAAGCCTGGGACTGGTGAGTACCAAGGTGAGACTCCCTTTTGGTTCATTGAATCATATTCAATTAAATTAAATTCAATAACTTTATTAATCCGTCAGGAACTTCATTTACAGACAGAGCACCGGTGGGGGTACACACCGACGGTCCCCATCCAGGATGCTCCTCCATGAGTCGCCACCACAGCGCCGTTTTTTCACCTGCCATATGTTATGGCAGGTGTCAGACATGACTCTTCTTCCCGCCCTGATCCTTCCTTCTCTTCCTGCATGAATCAAACCCACTTGCCCCCACTTGACATATCTTGTTCTATGTCCTTTCTCTACACAATTATATTACTGGATGTGGACTGTGAACGGGACAGAGAGAGGGACAAGGCAAGCTTTGGGTTTGCGTCGTACCTGTCTGACTCTCCGCAGAGTTTTATTAGTATTGTTTATTCCCATCACCTTTTCAAGAAATTGTTAGTTGTTAGTTATTTCTCTTGAATCCATTCATAGAAGTATTACATTTCCACTCCAGTTTATATCCTGTTTTATTTTGAAATCTGTTTACCTGGTGTCTTCATTAGGTGCACTTCCTGTTTCCTGCCCCGCCCTCATTAGCACCACCTGTGTCTCGTTAATCCCCGAGTTCTTGACCTTGTTCCCGCTTTGTTTACTTTTTGCGGTGTTTTTGCGGTGTTTTTGCTGGATTTGGATTACTTTTTTTGCAGTTCCACATTTTGAGCCCTTGTTTTTTCACCCACATGACAATCCAGGTTCTGTCGTCCGGAATACATTTACGTAATATATACAGACATTTACAGAACGCATTCTTCACTGTCTGTGAGAGGCGCTATACAAATAAACAGTACTTACTTACTCTGTCAACGCAAATCCACATCAAAACATTTAGTCAGTCCGTTTCCAAATGCCTGCTGACTGTCTTGTCATCGGGCCAGTGTGTAATCATGTTTATAATCCCCATTGTGTGTTGACAGGTGCAGTTTAATTATGAATGAGCTCTATATTCCCGTCCTCGCCGCCGCGCAGCCGGTTTCTTTGCACCTGTGTTAGCGTGGCGTTAATTACATCGCGAGTGTCAATGGACTAATCAAATGTGCGACGTCTGTGTGAATTTGCGAAGAGACGTTTTAATTGAAGATTGAGGGCTATAAAGTGTGCGGGGGAAAAAACCCCAAAAGTATTGTTTTTTTAAATGCTGCTATTGGACTGTGCTGAATAGACAGAGAAAGAGTGACAAAACTGCTGTTGTTTCCTTAAAGCTGGGGTATCTAACTTTCAAACCACATATAAAAATAAAGTTAAAAACATCAGCTAACTAGTTCCTGAGTCTCAATCAGTCAGTTCTGTTGGAATTTTTGCCCTCTGCCACATTTTAGAGCAACTTTTTAAGGCATAAAAGTGAAAATGAGAAGCCCGTCCTTATTCAGCCAATCAGCTCTCAGCCTAAAGATTACTCACAGGGCTTTTTCTCAGAAGTACGCAAAATATAAAAAAGTTTAAACAGTCTGTTTTGGTCTGATTTTTTTTTTACCCACAAATGTTGAACTTTGACAAGACTCTTTCTGTTGGGACAAACACAATTTATTATGCAGGGCAAAATAAAATTTACATACCCCAGCTTTAAATAATACTTTGACTGAGGGTACATGGGACTATAAGGAGAAGAATGCTGATATGTGAACAGTCCAATATCACAATTTCTTTGATTTCCTGTTTCTTTGTTGATTTTTTTGCCCTGGATTAGTGTGTGCTGTATGTTTAGCTAAAACCTGGAACAAAGCTGGAACAGTCTTCCTGAAAATGTGAGACCGACTTCTTCTCTGACAGTGTTCACAGGTTAAAAACAGTTCTGCTTAGCTGTGCAGACAACTGAGCGATTTCCTCTTCACTCTTTTTAATATATGGTGATTATTTCTGGACTGTGCTATACAAATAACCTTGCCTTATTATAATCATTTCGTTCACAATTGACAATGCAACCAGCGAATCATCTGCAGATAAGGGACGAATACAAAAGACAATGGGAGTAAGTAAAATCAGTGTTGCAGCGGTGGAGGACAGAGGTGTTAAACATGCATGAAATGTTTTCAGTGAGCTATAAAAAGAGACAAGAAACAACCACAACATTGTCTAAAACTGCGAAAACACCACTTTGTATGTTGTCTAAGTAAGTACACAACGTCTTTCCCCTTTAAACATGTTATAAGTCCATAGATCTATAAGACACATCTGCCCTGTTGATAAGCTAGCTAGAGCGAATTTCCATATATGGGCATTTGTTCTGACCGATTTCTGACGCGTTCCGACGGACTTCTTCCCGATTCATTAACATTATGTTCAAATAAGCCAGCAGATTTTTTAAGAACAAAATGGTGACTGTTGACACAAACAAGCATTGAGTTTTACAATAGGAGCCAGAGCGAGTTGGAGCAAAACTTTGGACAAGAGTACTTCCCTATTGGGTTTTATCAAGCTAGAGCAGTGTTCCACAACCTTTTTGAGCCGTGACACATCCCTTTTTTTATTGATAACAATCACATGCAACACGGCCACCTCTGCAGCCTTTATTGCCTAGAATGAGTCTAGTGTGTGTGAATGGTTGGTGGTGATCGCAGGGGCCGATGGCACATACTGGTTGCCTCGTTTATGCCAGTGTGCCCCAGGGCAGCTGTGGCTACAGTAGTAGTTTATCACCACCGTGTATGGAGTGAATGAATAATGACATGTAACGCGTCTTTGAGTGTCCAAAAAAGCGCTATATAAAACTGATGCATGATTATTATTATTATTTATGAACAATGCAAAATAGTAAATCTTTCTAATCTTCCAGATTATTTTCTATTCACATTATTTTGACCAATCAAGTGATATTGGTTCATTTCCAAAGGCCAACGAACGTACCACGTCTCGCGTTAGCTTCAGAGAGACGTGGACGGACAGTTCCATCGACATCATCTCTGCTTTAACACGACTGTGGCCTTTTTAGCGGGAGCGGGACGGTGACATTTTTGGGGGGAGATCAAGATGGCGGAGTGAGTAGTTGCAAAGTTTTGCGGGGCTCCAGGAAAAGTGACTTTATAGTCCAAAACATCGAATTTTGAAGATGCAGGTACTCAGATACACTTTAAGGTTACTGTGTGTTTTTTATCTGGATGGAAGAAAAAAGTAAAATTAACATTTGAAGAAATGGCTAACCCGAAGCAAACAAGTAGCATCTCGGACCACGTGTACGCTGCACCAATTGGAGAAAAGTCGGAGAAGATTTTAATGGAGATGGATACAACAGAAAGTGAAAATGAACCAACCCCAGTTAGCAGTCCTAACCGCAAAAAGCTTAAAAGAAGAGCGGCCTCTAAACAGGTTAGCATTGAATCTGTCCTTGAAGCCATAAACTCTCTGTCAAATCGGACCAAAGATTGGACATGCTCAATGCTAAATTTGATAACATCGAAATTAAAATGCAAGCATATGAAACGGCTGCCAAAGAAAATAAAGCAGAAGTAAACAAGCTCAAAGGAGAGGTACAATCACTGATTAAAGAAAACAAGGATCTGAAAGAGAAATGTCTGGAAAGTGCCCGATACCAGAGACGGTGGGACCTCAGGCTTATCCGTCTGCATGAGAAAGAAAATGAGAATGCACGTGAAACAGTGATTCCTGTGTCTGTGGACAAGCTCAGAGAAACTGTGGACACTGTACATCGACTTGGAAGAAAGAATGACGTAGCTACAAACAAGATGCCTCGTCCGATCATCATTCAATTTGGTATGAGGACAACGCGGGACGAGATTTGGAGACGCTCGAAGGAAGCGCCGGTGTGCAGAGAGATGAACATTCGGTTCAAGGAAGTCTTTTCCAAAGAAGATGAGGAGGCACGGACGAAGCTGTGGCCAGCAGTGGAGGAAGCGCGGCGCAGGGGTCGAAGAGCCTTCTTGAAAGAGGGGTATCATAGTTGGTAAAAGAGTGGATCCATAAAACTTTTTATTGGAAAAAAAAAATGTTGTTTTCACTAAAGAATTGACTTTATCAAAAAACAAAACACTTTATTCTTATCTAGCGTAGTTCAAAAGCGGATTTTTTATTTTTTTATGTCTGTTCATTTAAGTTTGTTAAATATTAGAGGTTTACAAAATATCATTAAACATAAGGCATTATTTTTATTTTGTAAAGAGACAAAAGCTAATCTTATTTTTTTGCAAGAGACTCATTCAAGTGCACTCTACTTTAATTTAGCATATAATTAGGTAATATATAATAAATGGTGTATATATTATATATATATGCTGTATTATGTTATATATTATGTTGTATGTTATGTTACGTATTATATATAATATATATGGTATATATAATATATAATTAGGTTTGCTTGGATCGGTTTGCGCGCCTGGTGTGTAATCCATGAATCTTGGTGCTGTAACCTAGACTAGCCTAGCCGTGGCTGCTGTCTCACCTCCTTTCAGATACGCTCTCTTTATTCAAGGCTAGGTTTAAAACAGTCCTCTTTAGTTTAGCATATGGCTAGGAAGGTAAGACTCAGGGAAGGCTAAACTCCTCAGACTGTCAGTCAAGCTGCATAGGGAGTCAGTTTGCTGGGAGAAGTATGGTAACTTGAGCACTATCCTCTCCTCCTTCCTACTTTATCTGTTTAGCATTATTAGGATTTTGACTGTAGTTTGTTCATTGCTATTCACCCGTTGTCCCATTGTCTGTTTCATGGTACGATGACGGGATCTCTGAGCCTGGCCTCCTCCATCTACACCTGCGGACTGCCCCGCCCGACCCGCCTGGGAGTGCTTCAGTCCTGCACCGGACCTGTCCACGTTCAGCGGCCACTGGTCCACGTTCTGTAGCTAGCTTAGGTCCTAGATCATTAGCCTGTCCGTCCGGAGGAGCGGATCCCTTTCTCAAATGGGTCTCCCTCCCTGTGGGTTTCCCTAGTTCTCCCCAAGGTTTCTCACTTTTTCCCACTGGGTTTTTTAAGAGTTGTTCCATGTCGATGCAGGAGGGTCTTGTTGGACAGTTAGTGTCCAACAGAAAGGATTGGTGATGATCAGGACACTTTAGCATTCTACAACATGTATGGACATTTTCTTCTGTGTGTGCTTTATATTCTTCATGTGTTTTAACTGTTGATTCTCTGACCTGTGTCGGTGATTTCAATGGTTTTGTTAAGTCCTCTGCGAGCAGCATTTATTACTGCTCGCCAAAATTGGTTAAAAATTAAAATGAAAAGCTTTTTGGTAACAAGAATCTACCAAAGATTTGTAATATTGTTATAATTATGGGTAAATACCATTTACACAAAACCAAATGGCAAAATAAAATGCCATCCCTCACGAAATTTTAAATTGAACTCAAACACTATTTTGCTTCCCTCTCATTATTAAAGAATTCATCAAAAGATATTGAAAATATTTGTGATGATGTCTCAAAATATTTGTTGTTGTAACTTGTTTTACTAAACGTATGCCTTACTGAATGTTTGATGTTTTTTGTTTGCTTTATTTTATCTGTGTAAATATCGGAACAAAATTGTTGTCTCCTAACAAGAGTTTTGTATACTTGTATGTATATTGTAAATAAAGAATTTTTTAAAAAAAAGGACGGTGACATTTGGAGAGGTGCATGCTGGGATTGTTCTGCCGTGAAACCAATGCAAATTTGTAGCAGTGTTTTATTTTTGTTTTTTTTTCAGATTTTAAATTTAGAGCTCGGGTGCCTGGGTTTCAAACCGTACAATAAAATATACTACTTCTGTCACTAGTGTTTGTATTAGTGTACTCTTTAAAGAGCATAGACTTATTTATAGCGCAATTTGATTCAAACAACAAGTTGATGAATCAGTATGTGATACTTTTTTTCCCTATGTACTTGTATTGTATTCATGTTTCCTCAACACACATTGTGGCCAATAGAGGGCGCTCCAAAGCCCACTTCGGTGATCACTGGGCTATAACCTAAACCTTTCTCTATTTATTATGTTAGAATACACAAGACACTTAAACAAAACACTTAAACCCAACTTGTGCGGAACGCGCCATACCTCGCATGAACATCAACCCGGCGCGATATGAAGCTCGGGCATGAAGCGGACACCAGCAGACCACCACCTGCCGTGACACAGGGTTAGCCAAGAAAACAAACACTACTCACATGCAGAACTCACATTACTCCTCTGCCCCACACACACGACCCCAAACCCGAAGCTCCAGAGGTGTGCTGCTCTGGTTTGCGCACCGGCTTTACATTACTGCTAATTAGCTGCCGCAGCTGGTAGGCAGACAGCGAGGGAGCAAGTGCGTTCACTGACCGCCAGAATAAAACCCATAAGTAACCCGCCTGGTTACATCTACCCCCCCCCCCCCAACTGAATCGGTGTCCCACCGGTTAACACCACCTATGACCACGGACGGAATATAGCGGTTGCTAAGCTACTGGCACCCTGGATCCGAGAGGCAGCAACCCTATTTTCCTCGTGGTGGATCGGACCCGGTAAGCGATGGGAATTGGAAGGCTGCCCTGCGGTCTTGCGTGTCAACTTACGCAGTGCAGACCCGGCGCGAGAAGGCACCACTGGAGATGGACTGGCGACAGGCAACTCCCGGGCGAGTGGCTCGACCGGCGTAGAAGGGGCACTGACCGACTCCCTGACCACCAGCCAAGCCCCCAACTCCAACTCATCTCCACTGGCCTCGTCCTCTACGAACGCCACCTGTGGCCAGACGTTCTAACTGGTCTCTGGAGGGGGCAAAGCAGGCTTCAGAGCAGTACGATGCACTTGTCTTACTTGGTCAAGCCTGTCGACGGGGGCGACTGAGTAGACCACACCTTGTTGGGCCGGCGCCTTCACTACCTGGTACATTGTTGGACCCCAGATATCTTGAATTTTCCTGCGCCCTGGGCCAACAGCCCGAAGATACACTCTCTGGCCTGGCTCGAGCGGCGGACACAGGGTCTGGCTGTCGTGTCTCTCCTTCCTTTGCTGGGCTGCCACCTCCATCCGACAGCGGGCAGCATCCATAGCCACCTGCAAGCGATTCCGATGCTCTGCCACCCAGTCCACCACTCCCCCAGCCTCAGGAAGTTTTCCAAGAAGAAAATCCACAGGGAGGTGGGGCTCCTGGCCGAACATCAACAGGTGGGGCGATTCGCCAGTAGACTGATGGGGGGTTGCGTTGTAGTTGAACACCAGCTGTGGGAGGTGACTGGGCCAGTCATGCTTTTCTTCAGGGGGGAGCGTGCGGAGCAAATTGTGCAAAGTCCGGTTGAACCTCTCACATTGTCCATTGCCCTGCGGATGGTAAGGGGTGGTCCGACTCTTCTCGACCCCATATAGTGCGCACAGCTGTTGGACCAATGCACTCTCAAAGTTTCTCCCTTGGTCCGAGTGTATCCATGCCGGAACACCAAACCGATAGAACCACAGCTGGACCAGCACCTTCGCCACTGTATGTGCCTTCTGATCACGAGTTGGCACCGCCTGGGTGAATTTGGAGAACACGTCCGTCATGACCAGCACCAACTCTCTTCCATCACGGGCAGGTTCCAACAATGTAAAGTCAATTGCTAGCATTTGATTTGGTCGAGATGCAAGTACATGGCCCAGGGGTGCATGAAGCCTGGGCTGGGTGCTCTTTGCGACAATGCAGCGCTCACAGTTCTGACACCAGTCCTTTATATCACGGTCCATCCCTGCCCAGTAACACCGCTGCCGCACCACCCCAGTTGTCCGCTGGATCCCCTGATGACCGTGGTTCTGGTGCAACTCCTTCAGCACCTCCGACTGCAAACACTCCGGCAACAACAACTGGAGAACCTCCTCCCCTCCATCTGGTCTCAGCAGACGACGGAATAACAGTCCCTCCTTCTGTATGATACGGTCCCACTGCTTCACCAGCCCTCGAGTTCGTAAACTCAGCTTCTCCTGTTCGGCACGGCTGGGCACCCGTTGTTGGCCCCAGAATGGCAGGAAAGCACTGATGGACGGGTCGGACCTCTGGAGCACTCTCAGGTCGGCTGAGCTGCGGGATGGCAAAACAGCAATGGCGGACTGGGTGGCCTCCAGCTGACCTTGGGCTGGACCCTCTGTGATGGATGCCGGAACCGGGGTACCAGGTAGGTAGTGCTCCAGTGGGACATGGTTGGCCTCTGCAAGGTCCCTCTGACGGGAGAGTGCATCGGCGTTCTTGTTGATCCGCCCTGGCCGATACTTCACGCTATAGCTGAAGGCAGATAGCTCGGCAACCCAGCGCTGCTCCGTAGCCCCGAGCTTAGCAGTTTCCAGGTGGCTCAGTGGGTTGTTGTCAGTCCACACAACACAGTAATGGCCCCACAGGTAGTCCTTGAATTTCTCTGCCATGGCCCACTTCATGGCCAACATTTCCAGTTTCATAGAGCTATAATTTTTCTCTGCAGGGTGCAAGCTGCGACTGCCATAGGCCACGGGTCAAACTTGTCCTCCTTGCTCCTGCGAGAGTACTGCTCCTAGTCCACAGTGGCTGGCATCCACCTCTAGAAGAAATGGCAAAGTGAAATCAGCAAATGCCAAAGTGGGTGCACTCACCAGGCGGGCCTTCATCACTGTGAAGCTCTCCTCACACTCCGCTGACCTTGGGCTGGACCCTCTGTGATGGATGCCGGAACCGGGGTACCAGGTAGGTAGTGCTCCAGTGGGACATGGTTGGCCTCTGCAAGGTCCCTCTGACGGGAGAGTGCATCGGCGTTCTTGTTGATCCGCCCTGGCCGATACTTCACGCTATAGTTGAAGGCAGATAGCTCGGCAACCCAGCGCTGCTCCGTAGCCCCGAGCTTAGCAGTTTCCAGGTGGCTCAGTGGGTTGTTGTCAGTCCACACAACACAGTAATGGCCCCACAGGTAGTCCTTGAATTTCTCTGCCATGGCCCACTTCATGGCCAACATTTCCAGTTTCATAGAGCTATATTTTTTCTCTGCAGGGTGCAAGCTGCGACTGCCATAGGCCACGGGTCAAACTTGTCCTCCTTGCTCCTGCGAGAGTACTGCTCCTAGTCCACAGTGGCTGGCATCCACCTCTAGAAGAAATGGCAAAGTGAAATCAGCAAATGCCAAAGTGGGTGCACTCACCAGGCGGGCCTTCATCACTGTGAAGCTCTCCTCACACTCCGCTGACCAGGCCTCGTCCAGCTGAGTTCCTCGACCCCTGCGATTGGTGGGTCCAGCCAACTCTGCCACGGCACGATGTAGGGGAGCAGCTAGCTTTGAGAACCCCTCCACGAACCTACGGTAATAGGAGGCAAAGCCGAGAAAGGACCGCAGCTCAGAGACAGTTTTCGGGCGAGGCCAGTTTAACACCGCAGAAATCTTCCCCGGATCGGTCGAGACCCCATTCTCTGAGATGCGATGCCCCAGGTACTGCACCTCTCTCTGAAAGAAGGCACACTTTTCCAACTTCACTTTTAGTCCTTCTTGCTGCAGACGGCCAAGCACCATCTCCAGTCGCTTTAGGTGCTCCTCGACTGTTGAAGAAAATACTATTATATCATCGAGATATAGTAACAGGGATTGCCCATGCTGTGCACCAAACATTCGTTCCATGAGCCTTTGGAAAGTCCCGAGTGCATTACATAGTCCAAATGGCATTCTGTTAAACTCGTATAATCCAAAGGGTGTGCAGAATGCAGTCTTTGATTTATCACCCTCCGTCACTGGTACTTGGTGGTAGCCGCACGCTAAGTCCATGGTGGTAAACCATTGGGCCCCGCACAAAGAGTCCAGGGACTCCTCAATTCGGGGCAGAGGGAAAGCGTCTCTTCGGGTTCTCTTGTTAAGCTGCTTATAGTCTACACACAGGCGCAGAGAGCCATCCTTCTTGCGTACGATGACTATAGGGGAGGCGTAAGGGCTACTGCTCTCTCGGATTACCCCCGTGTCCAGCAGCTGATTAATGTGCGTTTTAACAGACTCATACTCTGAGGGAGGAATACGCCTATAACGCTGGCGCACAGGTGCATGGTCTAAAAGAGGAACATCGTGGGAAATGAGCCCAGTACAACCCAAGTCCCCGTCAAACGCGGAGAACACAGACTCATAGGTGATGAGCATTTCCCGGACTTTAAGCTGGTCTGCTTCCGGCAGCATAGAAAGATCAAGACCTAGTATGTTCTCTCGCACCGAACCCCTCTTGGCAGTGTGAGACCGGACGGTAGCTATAACTGCATCACGCTCGTCGCGGACTTCGTGCACACCCGATGGCAAGCTGACTACCTCAACAGCGGATACTAGGGCCAAGGAGCAACAAGATTTTAAAGTCACCGGGGACCCACTAACATTTGTCACCGGTATGTAAGCGGTCCCTCAAACAACATTAACCAGGGTGGGTGACACCACTAACCCAGGAGGCAGACTAAACCCATGACCCAGGTGCTCAGCTAGGCTAGTCCCCGTAGCACCCACTGCAGCAGGACAGGTAGCGGCCACAAATTTTGTCGTGCCAGCAGGGATAACATTTTGTCTTCAATCTCGAACCTTTGCCACCGCCTCGCCAGCCATACAACTCTGTGCCTCTGCCTGCATAAAAAGCTGAAACGCCGGTAACCAGGGTGTGGAGGCTTCCAACAGGGAAGTATTGCTAAACAAATTAGCTCCGTCCTGGTGAGAAAGCTGCTCGTAATATGCTTTTATAATATTCATACCAATAATTCCCGGAACTGAAGTGGAGCTAGCCTGCCCTGGGGGGTCCTTAACAACCAATACTCCTCTCCTGGGAATAACTTTCCCATTGACCTCTACATCAGGCTCAAGATAACCCAGGTAGGGGATCGTCAACCCATTAGCAGCCCTCAACTCTAGCCAATGACATGACTTTAACTTGTCCTGGAAATGCTGCCTGAAGTAGGACTCTGAAATGGTGGACACCATAGACCCAGTATCAACGGAGCCCTATCTACGTTAGGACTCGAGAATTCAGCTGGCGGAGATTGCAAAGCGGCAAGGGCTTGGGTGATTTGTGCTAGTTGTTCCTGTTTCTTCTGAACTAAAGCAGTAAGGGCGGTGATTTGAACTAAGGCATCATTACCCGGAGGGACTGACTGCAGATTAGCCCGTTGAGTAGCACATAACGAAGGCACGGCATGGAAATTTGGCCTCGCCTCAACCGGCCTGCCCTCTCGCTCCCACTTGATTGCCTCCGACCGGACATCTAGCAATTCACAGTCTGGATTGTCCCGCACTAACCGCTTTAACTCTCTTCTCAAATTGGGATCATGTACATTTTCCACAAATTGATCACGTAACCAGATTTGCGAGTTAGTCATTCTACATGGAGCATTAGCGACAACTTTATCCATTAGACAGAAAAGAGCATGGGAAAACTCTTGCAATGTTTCCCCCTCTAACTGTCTTCTAGAGAAAAAGTCTTCCTGCAGCAAAACATAAGGCTTTTGACATCCATACAACTCTTTTAAAACAGCGAACACAGTCTCTGGGTCATCCCGTTCAGCCACAGTTCTGTACTTTATTTTATCATGCGCTTCACCCTCCAAATGATCAAAAATAAACGCAGCCTGGTCCGTAGGTCCAACATGTCTCACGCGCATACTTGCAGGTACCTCCTCCACCCAGTCATCAATCCCAATCCCGTGAGTTCCTCGAAACATGGGGCACTTTCGTTCACCAGGAAGGTAGATGACAGTCTCTGTAGTCCCTGGGTTGTCCACTTGTCCTCTCAGACTAGGACCGGCCTCCCGCTCCTGGTGCAGCTGGGCTTGTTCCGCCTCCAACTCACGGACCCTCTCCTGAAGCCGCCGCAGTTCCTCCGCCATGACTCAGGAGTTGTGGACGTCAGCAAGTCTCCAACACGTCCCCCGGCCTGCCAGCTGCTGTTTGATTTGGCTCTCAAACTTTTTTTTTTTTTTTTTTTTTATTTATATACACACATTTATATTTTCCTGACCCTAACAAGTAAACCAAAATTCACACTCTGCCTCGCTCACCAGATCCTGCCAGCAGACGCCAATTGTGACAAAGGGAGGCTTGGGTTCCTCTAAGAATGGCAGGGAAGTCTGGTAACAAACACGCGCGAAGCAGAAATGTGGAAAATTATATAAGTTTTATTTTTGACACCAATAGTTAAAAATACGACCTTTTATTTACTGTTATTAAAATCTTTAAGATATAGCAGTGAAGGAAAACAAAACACTATTCACAACAGGTTTAATGAGCCAAACCAAACAGCAGCGGCTAACTGTTGGGTAGAGCACAGTACTGTTAGAATACACAAGACACAAAACACTTAAACCCAACTTGTGCGGAACGCGCCATACCTCGCATGAACATCAACCCGGCGCGATATGAAGCTCGGGCATGAAGCGGACACCAGCAGACCACCACCTGCCGTGACACAGGGTTAGCCAAGAAAACAAACACTACTCACATGCAGAACTCACATTACTCCTCTGCCTATGGGGTAAGGTTACTGTCAATAAAGACGTGCATGTCTAAAAAAAATGCGTGCATATTTATTGGTATTTGTGCATAATTTATTTTTATGAATTCATGATTAAGATAATACAAACTAAAAAGACATGGAATTTCGTAATTAAGAATAAAAAAATATAAAACTGTATGTGTGATTTTGTACTTGTGAATACGATTTTTTTTGTGTGCTTGCTTTTTCTTTTTGAGAATGCGAATTTCAGCAGTGAGCAAACTGTCAATAATACGTCACTGCTCACAGACATTAACAATCGAGCTGCGCAGAGTTGATCATGGCAGAGGGCAACAACATTAACAATTTGGCTCAAAATCAGGTAAATAACTATATTTGATCATTTTGGTCGTAAATAAATGTGTAAGAAATATTAATTCCATAAAATGTGTTCATAAGATGTTTCTTGTCCCTCTCTAGAAACGTTTTTTTAGGCAGTGTTTAGTTAACACTAGCTTCAAGGCTAGTTTTACAGCTTACCATGTTATTTTAAAACCAACATTTTTACATTCTTAGCAGTTACATTTTATGAAGCCTTTGCCCCAAATCAATGTGGTTAAAGTGTTGATACCAGTCCCAACCCTCCAGATTATTCATAGTTCGCGCTGTTACTGCCCCTGAGCAATATGGAGAACACCTCTGTGCTTTACTCATCCTTGGTTGTTAGACGTAGCAGACCCTGTCCCTGTGGACCTCAATCTTATATTTGTACATTTGACACATTACTTTTACTCACTAGTTCAGTAAGACTAGTTAGTCTGTTGTTTAGACTAAAATAAATGCATTATTTTCTGTAGAATAAAACAATATAAGGATAAGAAAATAAAACTAGCATTGGAGCTAACAACACTGCCAAAAAACCTTTAGAGGGACAAGAAACATCTTATTATGAACACATTTATGGAATTAATATTTCTTACACATTCATTTACAACCAAAATGAAAAATATAGTTATATACTTGATTTTGAGCCGCTTTGTTTATGTTGTGTCCTTCTGCCATGTTTAGTTTTTAGGCAATGAAGTTGATCAACTCTGTGCAGGCTCGATTGTTAATGTCTGTGAGCAGTGACGTATTATTGACAGTTTGCTCACAGCTGAAATTCGTATTCTCAAAAAGAAAATGCAAGCACACAAAAAAAAAATCGCATTCACAAGAACAAAATCACACAGTTTTATATTTTTTTTATTCTTAATTACGAAATTCCATGTCTTTTTAGTTTGTATTATCTTAATCATGAATTAATAAAATATTTGTATGCACAAATACCAATAAATATGCACGCATTTTTTTTAGACATGCACGTCTTTATTGACAGTAACCTTACCCCATATCTGCCCCACACACACGACCCCAAACCCGAAGCTCCAGAGGTGTGCTGCTCTGGTTTTCGCACCGGCTTTACATTACTGCTAATTAGCTGCCGCAGCTGGTAGGCAGACAGCGAGGGAGCGAGTGCGTTCACTGACCGCCAGAATAAAACCCATAAGTAACCCGCCTGGTTACATATATATTCAATAATCAGGTGTCGTTGTCATGGAGACGTAAGTTGTATATATTCAAACTGCTGCGCGCTCACTTCACTTGCTGTTGGTCTCTGACACTTGTGTTGAACTGTTGACTCTCTTCGTCTCATTTGCGTTTGAGGATAAAGCGGTGGAGTTAACACTGAGGCACTAATACACTCTGCTAAACCAGTTTGTTGACACTTTTCCAGCTCTGAAAACTTCTTTGAACAACACCTTGTGAAGGATGGCTCCCTCCCACTCCCCGGACTTTCTGCCCCTGTTCGTGTTCCCTGGAGGTAATCACTGAAATGATAATAAAACATTCATCTAATAAACCAACATGACGCTAGTAAACAGTTGTGTGGCTGTTTCAATGAGCCACGTGTTTGTGAGAAGAGCTAGCATTAGCATTAGCATGTGCGCTGAGCTACTGTATGAAAGTGCTTCATTACAGAAGCTGGACTTTTCTCTTTTCGTTTGGTAACCTGTAAAAACAGCTGCTGATAATGGCACACGTTGATCAGGAAGGCTGTAAAGTTGTGTTTGTGGGCGTCAGCGTGTATCGCGTCTTACAAGTTCATGAGCACAGTCACAGCTAGTTGACATGTAGCTAAACATGGAGGCATTAGATGTTGCTGGAGACGCTGTTCACAGGTTTATCTGAATGTTCCTCATTGATGGTGGTAAGAGTGGTGCCTGTACACTGTCAGATGCACTGTAGTGCTAGAGAAGGCCCACTGAGCTCACTGGGATCAGCTAATACTACACTCAGTCTAGATAATGTACTATATTAAACAATAATAGTCCACTCAAATACTTTTTTTGAGCAGAGAAAATGTCCTTCTCATCCAGACGCCTCTGGTGCTTTCTAGCTCATTTGTCTTCATGATGAAGACAAAACTGTTTGACTGTGTTTGACGTGTGAATTTGACAAAGCAAGAACATAGTTTGTGAGGAAGTTGATGATGTCAATATGTTGCAGCGGTTCGGGACCCCCTGGACGCTCTGGAGGACCCTGAGGAGGACGCAGGTGAGTTGCCGGAAGGTAGGTATTTTGTCATCATGCATGAGCAAGGCTTGGACGAGGCTTCTGATGAAGAGGATGAGGCGTCTGATGAAGAGGCTTCTGATGAAGAAGCTTCTGATGAAGAGGCTTCTGATGAAGAGGCTTCTGATGAAGAGGCTTCTGATGAAGAGGATGAGGCTTCTGATGAAGAGGCTTCTGATGAAGAGGCTTCTGATGAAGAGGCTTCTGATGAAGAGGCTTCTGATGAAGGCTTCTGATGAAGAGCTTCTGATGAAGAGGCTTCTGATGAATGAGGCTTCTGATGAGAGGCTTCTGATGAAGAGGCTTCTGATGAGAGGATGAGAGAGGCTTCTGATGAGAGAGGCTTCTCTTGATGAAGAGGCTTCTGATGAAGGCTTCTGATGAAGAAGCTTCTGATGAAGAGGCTTCTGATGAAGAGGCTTCTGATGAAGAGGCTTCTGATGAAGAAGCTTCTGATGAAGAAGCTTCTGATGAAGAGGCTTCTGATGAAGAGGATGAGGCTTCTGATGAAGAAGCTTCTGATGAAGAAGCTTCTGATGAAGAGGCTTCTGATGAAGAGGATGAGGCTTCTGACGAAGACGACGAGGCTTCTGATGAAGAGGAAGAAGAGGCCATGGAGAGTGAAGAGGAAGACCAGGGTATTCCTTCACCCCCCCGTGGGACCCCCCTGCGGACGTGGAGGATCCTGTGGAGGGTCCTCAGCCGCGAGCAGAGACCAGCGAGCCCTCCTCCTGCGCCCTGTCCCGTCTTTGAAGAGGAGCGTCGTCCAGGGGGGTCCAGGCGCCACAGGGATGAAGATGAAGAGGAAGAGCCCATCTCCAAGAGGCCACGCTTCTCCAACTCTGAGGACATCGAGGAGGAGCCCACCCCCTCCACCTCTGCTGGGACGTCCGGGGGCTTCGTCCACTACTTCCAGCAGCGCCACCTGCTCCAAGACTCTGACTCTGACTGAAGCTCAGCCTGAGACTGGAGACAACAGCCTCTGAGGAAGAGGAGGAGAGAAGGCCACGCCTGTTTCTACAGCACTTTGACACATGTGCAGAGGAGGTCACAAAGTGCTTCACAGGGACACACGCTCCACCATCAGCCGCCCATTTCTCCTCTGGACATTTATTTCTTTCTTGATTTATTTATTGGGCAAAATGTTGCCATTAAGCCAAAAAACAAAAAAACAAAAAAAGATTCACCCAGCACAAGGGTTTTCAGCCTTTTGGCAGATGTGTATCCAACATAAACCTTGTATTCATTCATTAGAACACAAAAGGATGAATACTGAGTAGTCACAGTTATAAAGACACTTGTAGATAAAGCCTTTCAGAGGACACTTTGAAAGGCCTGGAGAGCCACTGGTCGCTCCGCACTATAGGTTTAAGACCCTTGTTCTAGGATCAGTAATAGTTTGTTTTAAAAGAGGAGAAGGCAAAGAAAACTATGTAGGACTTCCATAAACGTCCTGACAAGTCTCCAGAGCAGAAGCACATTGAGCATGAGCAGTAAGTCCACAGATGATCCTCATGTGAGCAGAGGTCTCACTCTGTCCTCCATAGTACTCTTTGTCTTCTCCTGTGGGGAGTCGCCCAATAACCAGCCCTTTGAACTTTATGTAAATAAAGTTTGTTTATTGATTTATTGATGGTTGCCGGTGCGATACCCACTGCTTTGATTTGCTTTTTTTAAATCAAAGGACAGGAATAGTATGTAGGAACATTTTAGACACAGATCAACTTTGACAATGTTTTGATTATATTTGAGAACGGATAAATAAGAGCTTACGCTGACTCTAGTGTGGTTTCCTGCATAGTACGCCTGGCCTTGTGTTCACTCTAGAGCAGGGATGCCCAAGCTGGGGCCCGTGGGCCACATTGGTCCCTCTGAGGGTCTAATATGGCCTATGAAGGGGTGAGGACATTGGTCATTAGTCATTCCTTTCGGTGCAACACATAATTATCTTTGGCCCTCTGCCCACCAGTATAGTTTTAGCCCGCAGATTGAACGTTTGGCCGCCCTTGCTCTAGAGCTGAGGAGGATCAGCAGGAGAGGAGGTGGAGTGCCATCTACAGAGTCGGTGCTGTGATCCCTCCTCCTTCCAAAGATTCTGCTTTATCCGTTGCTGGGTTGCAAGGGCAACTGTCTAAACACAGACGCCCGGACTTCCCGATCCACACACACTTCCTCCAGCTCATCCGGGGGAATCCCAAGGCCAGCTGAGAGACATAATCCCTACAGTGTGTCCTGGGTCTTCCCCTGGGTCTCCTCCCAGTGGGCCTTGCTCTGAACACCTCAGGGAAGCGTCCAGGAGGCATCTGAAACAGAGCCACCTCATCTGGCTCCTCTTGACGTGTAGAAGCAGCGGCTCTACTCTGAGCTCCCGCCAAGTGACTGAGCTCCTCACCCTCTTTCTAAGGGAGGGACACAGAGGGAACTCATTTCGACCACTTGTACCCTGAGAAACTTGAACTACTCCACTGGAGGAAGGACCTCTGCACCTGGAGAGGCACCTTTTTCTGATCTCACTATAAGACTTGACTTCCCAGTGCATGTTGAAAGTCCTGGTTTGTTTGGAGCCAACAAGACAACATTGTCTGCAAACAGCAGAGATGAAATCCTGTGCTCTCCAAACTATGGTCCCCTACTACGTTACTAAAGTATTTTCATTTTATTCATTACTATTTGTATTTTTTTCTGTTTTATTTCATTTATTTTATTAGTTTTTTGTTTGACATGGACAATGTCGTCAGACATATTTACCAAACTTAACTGATGTTATGCATGCAGACTTTAAGGCTACTTTACAACATTCTGTCCCTGTGGGCTTTTGTACAGTCACTTTAAAACCTTCATGAAACACAATGATAAAGGTACAATGTCTCTTTCATTTCCTCACATACATACATTGTATTTGACAGTATTTAACAGTCTGTCAAAACCATTGACAAAGAGTGAGTCGTAAGTCCATGTGTCCTTGTGTGAATGTACATGTAGAGCCTTGAACAGGGCTTTGTCGGCCGTGGCTTTAGATTCCTCGGCCAAAGGTAAGACGTGCATTGGTTTGGGCTGAGGACAGAGACGAGGCACTTCCAGCTTTGACAGCACTGAAAAAGACACACACATCCCCACATGAGATAGGAGTTTTTATCAAAGTCATTGTGTCATCATCAAAGATGTCTTCAGATTGTTTCCAGTTTTGTGTTCCAGTTGGAGACAGGAGTCCGCTGCATCATCATGTCCCGGTGAGTCATCTTCAAATAAGCAGTGAACATATGAATGAAAGGCTCCTTCTGCTCCCTCACTTCGCAGATGATGTGTCGCTGATGGAGCTGTCCATGGTATCAACCACACTACTGCAGTGAAGCTTCACTAGAGACCACCCTGATCCTGACCCTACACAGTGAGAGGCCATTCTGACTCTGGACCAATGACATGGACACGTGTCTGGTGAGCTGGACTCTGAGGGTCCATGTAGGATCCACAGTGGAATGCAGACATATTGTTACTTGTGTGAATGAACTTGTTTTCATTACAGGAACTCAAGCTCCGTGTTGGAAAAGACATGGTTTTCTACAACTACAATGACTGCTGTACTTCCAGCTCCAGCCACATATAGTCCAAAGAACACACATCCAAACGTTGGTAAGTCAATATCGGAGATACAGAGTGTTCAGTGTTCATTAGAATGTAAGTGACCCCAAACATGTATTTGACCAAATGTAGGATCTATTCTTGTGAGAGCGACCTGTGGATGCTGCTGTCCACTTCAGGGGAAGAAAGGAACAAGTGCAGCCACAAAGAGACCAGACTCATCCCACGTGAGAGGCCTTCAGTTTGTGTCCTGCTGCTCTTCTGAACTGTGCTCTTAAAACACATTGGTCTTGTTCAGGGAGGAAACCTGAGGGAACAAGATGACAACATTATCATTCTCCTATTCTATTGTGACGTGCAGGCAATGAGGGAGCAGCGTCTACAGTCAGAGCTCTATCAGACTGTTGTGGTGAAGAGGGAGCAGCGTCTACAGTCAGAGCTCTGGATTTACTGCTCTGTGTATGGTCATATCATGAGCTTTGGAAAATGGCCCAAAGGACAAGATAGCAGATACAAGGCTCCAAGTGAGTTTCCTTCTGACTAGAGCCGCTGCTCCTTCGCGTCAAGAAGAACCGTTTGAGGTGAGAGGAGTGGATTTGGCACAGTACTGTTGCAGACTCCAACCAGCAACAATACACTCAATGCTCTTTTCAACTGTCCCTTTGTTGTCAGATGCAGTGGGGCCTCCACCCGCGCTCAGCACCACAGAGAGCCACACCCCCTGCTCCTGACCACAGCCCACCAGTGAACCAGTGTACATAAGATCAGAGCCATGTCTGCTGAGAGCCGCCGGAACAAGGAGGAGCTCCAACAGAGGTGAGAGTGAAGTACCTCCAGCAAATCTGTACGAAGATTTACAACAAGATTTCAACAATACCATTCTTCTGTTTGATTGTGACTGCAGGCGCTGAGGAGCAGTTGGAGCTGTGAACCTAACGGAGAAACTGACCAAAACAAATCTGCAAATGAGAACGCCTGACTGGGACGGTGTGCAGCCGAGGGAGAAGCGACTCCCATGAAACTCAGCCCCTCTGAATACAAGGCCATGGTTCTGGACCGGAGGCAGATGTCTTACCCTCTCCAGGTGGCTGAGAGCTCCTTCCTCCAGCGGTGGAGTTCAAGTGTCTCTGGTCTTGTTCACTGCGAGAGAAGGAGCAGCGTCTGCAGTGATGCTGCCTCTGTATGGGACTGTTGTGGTGAGGAGGCAGCTGAGTCTGGAGCTGGCCTGGAAACGCCTCATCCAGCTGCAGGAGGTTTGTGTGAAGTGTGAAGAGGGGAGTCTGGGCCACTCATGACAGCTGCCTCTGTGACCCGGCCCAGGATAAAGAGGAAGAAATTGGATGGATGTTTCTAGATGAGCCCAAAACAAATGACTGAGGGATGGAGAAAGCTCAACATAAGACTGCGCTGAATAAATCCAAATGTGGTCCAAATAAAAACCAATAATGTTGGATTCAATTTGACTTGTATTTCTTATTTCAGTAATAGTAAGTTTGTGTTGAAGTGCTGTGTTACTTGTGACCAAAAGAGAACTATTTTATAACAATTGTTCCTGGGGCCTCCTAAAAATATACATTTTTACACCAGATTGTGTAAAAATTACTGTTTTCCTTCACTGACTTTTAATAAGTACTATAACTGTTGACTATAACTTGACATAAACAAAAACACGCTAATGCTGAAGACGAAAGACAAGTAAACAGTGTGTTGCAAACGTGTTGCCTTTCTCTGATGGACGAGGAAGCTCAGTTCAGAACCACACCTTGAAAAGGGGACTTTAACTGCCCTTTTAAGATTGTTTGTAAGCAACAGAAAATGGTCTGAATTTGAATTTTATTTAGGTTAAGGGATATAACTCCTCACATTTCAAAAAGTAAACAGAGTTATAAAAAAATAATGTCAAACGCTGAGTAATTACACTTACACAACTAAAAGCTGTTAAATTGACTGCTCTGGGAGTTCTGGTAAAACCTTACATTGGACTTATTCAACATCACCCTCAGTCTGTGCAGGAGTCTCTCCATGATCTCACACCAAAGCACATCTGTGACATGTTAATGCCATATGAACAAGCTCTGAGGAGCACAGGGACGGGCCTCCTGCTGGGAATCTGAGGAGCACAGGGACGGGCCTCCTGCTGGGAATCTGAGGAGGAGGGACTGGCCTCCTGCTGGGAATCTGAGGAGGAGGGACTGGCCTCCTTCAACTATGCCAGAATTGGAAGAGAAGAAATATAAATATGTATTAACTTTTTAGACACAAGAGTAAACTATCATGGCATTTGTCTCTTTTTAACTATTCACTGCATCCTTACCTGTGTGTACTATAAATACTGTTTGATTGGGCTCCCTCGGTTACAACTAGTTAATAGAAATAATAATAATGCATGGGTTTTATATAGCACTTTTTTGGACACTCAACCCCTTCACATGTCATTATTCTTTCTCTCCATACACGGTCATTATCAACTACTACTGGAGCCACAGATGCCCTGGGGCACGCTGACAGAAGGCAACCAGTATGTGCCATCTGACCACCACCAGCCACTCATGCACGTTCAAAAACATTTTACTATTTACGCATCGAGACCATTTCTGTTGGAACCTGTGTTGTTCATGAAGAACTATTAGTTGAAGAAAGGTACCCCGGCTTTAATTAGCATGGATGTTGCACAAAGCAACTCCAGGTCAATTGTATGACTGTGTGTGAGGTGTGGATCGATTGCAGTGTTAGCCTTGAGAAGAAGAAGCAGTTTGGAAGATAAGCTAGCTAGAGCGAATTTCCATATATGGTCATTTGTTCTGACCGATTTCTGACGCGTTCCGACGACTTCTTCCCGATTCATTAACATTATGTTCAAATAAGCCAGCAGATTTTTTAAGAACAAAATAGTGACTGTTGACACAAACAAGCATTGAGTTTTACAATAGGAGCCAGAGCGAGTTGGAGCAAAACTTTGGACAAGAGTACTTCCCTATTGGGTTTTATCAAGCTAGAGCAGTGTTCCACAACCTTTTTGAGCCGTGACACATCCCTTTTTTATTGATAACAATCACATGCAACACGGCCACCTCTGCAGCCTTTATTGCCTAGAATGAGTCTAGTGTGTGTGAATGGTTGGTGGTGATCGCAGGGGCCGATGGCACATACTGGTTGCCTCGTTTATGCCAGTGTGCCCCAGGGCAGCTGTGGCTACAGTAGTAGTTTATCACCACCGTGTATGGAGTGAATGAATAATGACATGTAACGCGTCTTTGAGTGTCCAAAAAAGCGCTATATAAAACTGATGCATGATTATTATTATTATTTATGAACAATGCAAAATAGTAAATCTTTCTAATCTTCCAGATTATTTTCTATTCACATTATTTTGACCAATCAAGTGATATTGGTTCATTTCCAAAGGCCAACGAACGTACCACGTCTCGCGTTAGCTTCAGAGAGACGTGGACGGACAGTTCCATCGACATCATCTCTGCTTTAACACGACTGTGGCCTTTTTAGCGGGAGCGGGACGGTGACATTTTTGGGGGGAGATCAAGATGGCGGAGTGAGTAGTTGCAAAGTTTTGCGGGGCTCCAGGAAAAGTGACTTTATAGTCCAAAACATCGAATTTTGAAGATGCAGGTACTCAGATACACTTTAAGGTTACTGTGTGTTTTTTATCTGGATGGAAGAAAAAAGTAAAATTAACATTTGAAGAAATGGCTAACCCGAAGCAAACAAGTAGCATCTCGGACCACGTGTACGCTGCACCAATTGGAGAAAAGTCGGAGAAGATTTTAATGGAGATGGATACAACAGAAAGTGAAAATGAACCAACCCCAGTTAGCAGTCCTAACCGCAAAAAGCTTAAAAGAAGAGCGGCCTCTAAACAGGTTAGCATTGAATCTGTCCTTGAAGCCATAAATTCTCTGTCAAATCGGACCAAAGATTGGACATGCGCAATGCTAAATTTGATAACATCGAAATTAAAATGCAAGCATATGAAACGGCTGCCAAAGAAAATAAACCAGAAGTAAACAAGCTCAAAGGAGAGGTACAATCACTGATTAAAGAAAACAAGGATCTGAAAGAGAAATGTCTGGAAAGTGCCCGATACCAGAGACGGTGGGACCTCAGGCTTATCCGTCTGCATGAGAAAGAAAATGAGAATGCACGTGAAACAGTGATTCCTGTGTCTGTGGACAAGCTCAGAGAAACTGTGGACACTGTACATCGACTTGGAAGAAAGAATGACGTAGCTACAAACAAGATGCCTCGTCCGATCATCATTCAATTTGGTATGAGGACAACGCGGGACGAGATTTGGAGACGCTCGAAGGAAGCGCCGGTGTGCAGAGAGATGAACATTCGGTTCAAGGAAGTCTTTTCCAAAGAAGATGAGGAGGCACGGACGAAGCTGTGGCCAGCAGTGGAGGAAGCGCGGCGCAGGGGTCGAAGAGCCTTCTTGAAAGAGGGGTATCATAGTTGGTAAAAGAGTGGATCCATAAAACTTTTTATTGGAAAAAAAAAATGTTGTTTTCACTAAAGAATTGACTTTATCAAAAAACAAAACACTTTATTCTTATCTAGCGTAGTTCAAAAGCGGATTTTTTAATTTTTTATGTCTGTTCATTTAAGTTTGTTAAATATTAGAGGTTTACAAAATATCGTTAAACATAAGGCATTATTTTTATTTTGTAAAGAGACAAAAGCTAATCTTATTTTTTTGCAAGAGACTCATTCAAGTGCACTCTACTTTAATTTAGCATATAATTAGGTAATATATAATAAATGGTCAGAAGGTCGTGGGTTCAATTCCCACCTCTGCACCTCCTCCACCGACTCCCACTGATGACTGCTGTCGTTGTGTCCTTGGGCAAGACACTTAACCCCACTTTGCCCAAAGCCCCCACTGAAAGATCAAGGCTCTGCTCACTCAGAGAGCAGCCGTCCTCCTGTGGACTCACCACCTGCAGAGGGTCAGTGAGGGGCTGGTGCTATGAGACTTGGGTGGCATCTCTGACTGCCACCCCCCTGACCCAGAAATGGATTAAAGGGTAGAAAATGGATGTGATGGATGGATGGATGGATAATAAATGGTGTATATATTATATATATATGCTGTATTATGTTATATATTATGTTGTATGTTATGTTACGTATTATATATAATAGATATGGTATATATAATATATAATTAGGTTTGCTTGGATCGGTTTTGTGCGCCTGGTGTGTAATCCATGAATCTTGGTGCTGTAACCTAGACTAGCCTAGCCGTGGCTGCTGCTGTCTCACCTCCTTTCAGATACGCTCTCTTTATTCAAGGCTAGGTTTTAAAAAAGTCCTCTTTAGTTTAGCATATGGCTAGGAAGGTAAGACTCAGGGAAGGCTAAACTCCTCAGACTGTCAGTCAAGCTGCATAGGGAGTCAGTTTGCTGGGAGAAGTATGGTAACTAACTAAAGCCATAGCTGCTCCGCCTTCCACGGAAGGGGGGGACGCACAGGCAGACACACAGGCGGACACACACACACACACACACACACATCCCACACACCCCCCACCCTACCGCCCCTTCTCACCTACTAACCCTTTCACAGAAGGAGCAGAACTCCATGCTAAGTACGCGCCCAAGCAAAGCGCTGTGTTAAAAAATGTGCAGACTACTGTTGTGCCCTCTCTCTCTCTCTACCCAGATTTGTCCACGCTTTCCTCCGTGGCCCCGCTGTATGAAACCGGCCCCTGTCCTACGCCTGAAACACCGC